ACCATCAGCACAACCATAAAATGTTTTCCTTTATACCTCAGAAAATATGAATATACTTTTTTAAAATGTAAAAAAAAAAAAACCTTTGAAATAGCTTTATAAGATATTTGGGAAAATTCGGTAATGCCAGATTGGTACAAGGAGAAGGATCATCCAGTAGAATTTTAGATTTTAGTATAAGGAGGATTTTGAGTTCATGCCAATGGAGATAGGGAGTTGTCTACTTTAGGAAAGTCAGTTTCAAAAGGAGGGACCATTAAATCGAAAAGGTTATGCGACAAAGAAGGGGGTTTGGGCTGCAGACTATTATCTGTTTAGAAGCTCAGGGAGGTTTGGTTTTCTTCCGTACAGCCTCTTAACAGCATTCCCTTGAATTGGCTAACTCCTGACCGCAAAAGCTTAACTCTGTAGGTTTGGTCTTATTTACTGCCTGACAAAAATTTATGGAAGAGGCAAAAATGCCTTTATTTCTTTTAGAGGAAAAGAAAAAAAAGTTCAATTTAGGGGTAAAACCCGAAGTTAGCTGTGCCTTTACATAGAAGCTTTTATGTAATTTTAATGTAGTCTTTAAATATTATTAAATATTCCCCAGAACGCAGACCTGGTGGTCCTGTCAGTTGTGAGAACGATGTCAGGAGATTAATTTGCAGTCATTGATAGAGATGCATGCGTGCTCTCTTCACTCTGCAGAGTTGCTGAAGGAGCTATTCATGCACATGCATGCAGTGTATTTATCATGTAAAGCTTGTTCCAGAAACACCACTTTACACTGATAGAGATGAATATGTAATAAACAAATGAGACCGCATGCAGGGTGGTAGGAAAGAGAAATACTGTACCAATTGGCAAGGGGCATCCAGCCCATCCAGGCCAGGCTGGCCTGGCTCCCCTTTTTCCCCCTTAACGCCACGGAATCCCTGTTTGTAAAGATTAACTCATAAAGTTACTAACACAAGAAATTGTTTATGCACAAATTATGCTAAAGAAATAATCACAATAATAAAAGGCTGGGAGAGGAGCAGCTCTGAAGTGAAAAGTAACACGCAGTGAAGCTGGACAAAGTAAAACAGAGCTTGACATAACCCTGTAATGAGGGCTGCTCTGGGAACAGTGACCTCTTTTGAGAAGTACAGAATAGTGCTGGTTCCTCTTCAGATCCCACATTCGTGTTCTAGTTGCAGGTCAATTCTTGAGTGTTAAGAAACCAGGCAGAGCTGGTGGCCAGAGACGAGGTGTGGAACATACCAGGATAACCCAGATAGATACTTTCAGTACTTTGAAGACATATTAAATGACCCCAATCAGAGCCCCTGCTGTTACGGGTCCCTCCAGCTTGCTCTTCTCCCAGTTTATCCCTTCATACATGACATCTGAAGACAGAGTTCCATGAGTCAGACATACCAACGGGCAAGGTGCATCTAATCCAGGGGCACCCTGTTCTCCTTTCTCCCCTTTAGGCCCCTTTTTGCCTTTCTTTCCCTTTTCCCCCTGTGAATACAAGGGTTTAAATAAAAGACAGGTTTTATTTGGGGGGAAATAATGATGATTCAAAAGATGGTTTAGCCAATAAAAGTCTGGAAGGGCATTTACCACTGTTTTTGATTCAGGTAAGGCATGATACTATAAAAAGAACAGAGTGACAATGGATTTTGGGCAACAATATATGGGGTTTTATTTATGATACTCAACAAGATGACAGGAGGAGACCTAAAAGGCTGTCACATCAGAAAAGAGGATCAGTGCTGACGTAGGGCCCAGAGCAGCAGTCCTTGTGAATGAGGCGTTTCTGCCATCGATCTGGAGTAGTGACAGATACCAACTGTACTGAAGCCAGCCGGTGGCAGGTGAAGTTCAGAGAAAGAATAGATACTTCACCCAATCTTCAATACCTGTCAATTTGTTGCTTTCTAATCCTATGATAAATGGAAGCTACATTGAGCCAGAGAAAAAGAAGAGAGTATTAATAGCTTCTATCATTTTGAAATATATCCGATTTTATGACTTATTTTTTAGCTCTCATTAAAAAATTTTCAATGTATTAAAAATATACTTCTATTTATTTTAACATTCTTTTTCAAGAAACTTAATAAGCAAATGCTTTCCTTATTAAGTCAGGTAAATAAATTTAAAAAGTGCTAATACTTCTCAACAATGCCAATTGGAGAAGCAGGCTTATTTATAAATTCAGGGCTCTTCTCTAATTCACTCGTATTGATCGCATGCCAGGTGTTCACAATGGTAAATAGGTTTCCAGCTTACAAAAGCCAAAAAAAAAAAATTCTGCTCAAGAGAGAAGCAGTTTGGACAAAGTTGAGCTAACACTAAAAAATGAGGTAGGCAGGATAATTACATTGTGGGAACGTAGCCATGGAAATTAGTATTTAGGAATCAAGGTAAAGGTTGTGGAAATCTGCATGGATCACACGGATGGAGGAATTAAGGAAAGGAGGCAAAAGGAGGAGAAGGTAGGAATGCACCTCAGCTGTTTCACATTAACATAAATATCTCTGCATATTTATAGACAAGAAGTTGGTGAGTGCAGAATACAAAATACAATACATATTTAAATCAGTGTATTCATTCTGCAATCAGGATGGCAGTTACATAAAACTGATTAATTTCAGAAGCAAAGCAACATAAATATTCAAAGGTGAAAAACATACTGAACAGAAATATATGAGATATGCATTCAAATTAATATATTCATTCTGAGTGAACAAAAAGCTCCTCATTTATCTCCTGTGTGCCAAAAAGATTGCATCAGAAGGCTCAGAATCAAAAACACTTGGATTTCTTTAATACTGGGAAAAGAGAAAAATTTTGTGTGGTTCAGTTGATCATAATCAAAGACAAAGACCTGAGAAGCCAGGGTGAAATGAGAGCAGATGTGACAGGAAATAAGCTAGAAGGAGCATTTGGGAGTAAATTGCTCACTCACGCAAGATGAATGAACATCCTTCTTCAGTGAGTAACTTCAGTGCTATGACATCAAATTGATTTAAACTTGTTTAGGTGAGCTCTTTTCTCATAGGACGCAGTGGACTCTTGTTCACATAGGTGTGACTGACACCAGGGGTGTTGGGTATTATTAATTAAGAATTCACTTCATTGATTTATAAATCAACCCAGATTAATAACTCAACAGAAAAATGTTGTCATATGAATGCTGAATGAATAGGGTATGTGAATTTTTCAGTAATATTTTAGCGAACTTCAAGCTTTATAGAAAACAGATAACTACTGTACAAAGAATAATATATCGGTGTTATTAACCAATATGGTTTTGTAACAGTTAGGGATTCCCTATGCAACACAAAACCTTATCTGTCATTGTGGGTATGAGTGCATAAGGGCTCCTGCTAATATTTGTCTCCCAGGTCAAAGAAGGTTCACATTTAGAATCTAATTTTCCTAAACATACAACTTTTATACATGAATCTGAAATATGGAAATATTCTATATGGGTGATTAACATTACTTGAGGATTAAATCTGTAGCTTAATGTTTTAATAAATGATAATACTGATCACTTCTTTGTTTAAAAGATAATTAAAATGAGTAACCTCATAATGGTGACATACTTTTGAGAAAGATTTTAGACTTAGACAACCCATTAGGTAAATAAGAAATAAATGCCTATAACCTTTAAAACAAGGGTCCCCAACCTCCGGGCTGTGGACTGGTACTGACCCACGGCCTGTCAGGAACCTGGCCACACAGCAAGAGGTGAGCCAGACGAGTGAGCGTCTGTATTTGCAGCTGCTCCCCAGCGCTAGCATCACCGCCTCGGCTCCACCTCAGGTCATCGGCATTAGATTCTCATAGCAGCACCTGTTCCTAGTGCCAAAAAGGTTGGGGACTGCTGCTTTAAAGCATACATACATTGAGCTAAAATACACAATTTACCTCAAAACATGTATCTTTTATAGTTAGAAGTTATAATTCAGAATAAAAGAACTATTTTCATGCCTTGTCTGTGAGATGGAGACAACATAGCACCAACCTCGAGGTTGCTGTGAAAGACTTATCACACATAAAGCTTTTGGGAAAATGCCTAAGAGCTTAATAAATGTAATGATATTGATGATGATGGTGGTGGTAAATGTAATGATATTGATGATGGTGGTGGTGGTAAATGTAATGATATTGATGATGATGGTGGTAAGTGTAATGATATTGATGATGATGGTGGTATTGGTAGTTTCACATAACTGCTCATCTCAGATCAGTCCTCTTGCCAGTGGAAAGCTAAGTAATATCTAAGGTCTAAAAATACACAGCAGGCTTAATGCCCTTCTTTCCTTGACAATTCTCATTTGACTGTGCTTTTCCACAGCTATGAACCTTACTGTTAAAGAGAATTTACAGGGTTTTTGAAAACAGCGTGTTGGTAAATAAATCAGGACACAAATTAATCTGAGGAATACAACTGGTTTAAATTTGAACTGAGAAGGTACACTTTCAGCCACTTTAAGAGTTTCACTATTCTACTGAAGTGCTAAGTTTTTGTTTGCTTCTTTTGCTGTGTCCAGTGTAAAAAATTATTTTTCGAAATCCAAGCAAAGGAGAACAGAAAGGAAAAATTATTTAAAAAATCCATAATCCAAAGTTTGCGTTTAGATATAAAACCATTTGCCTGCTTTTGGAGCCTATATACCCTGACATGGATGGTCCTGAGATAGAACCTAAGCACACTATCAAAAAATATACCAATATCTTCATTTAAAAGTATGCACAGTGTCTAAAAGTGGCACATCCTAACCTCTGCCTAATGGACTCGCTGGGGTTGATCAGTTACGCTGTTTGTCTTCCATTCTCCATTAAATCAAGGCACAAGACATATCTTCTGTCTCTCTTCTGGGAATATGTGAAGATAACTGAGGTGGGGGCTTTATAGGGTTAAATGCATTCTGCCAGAAGACTGCTGCAGATTTACGCTATTTCAGTTTAATGTAATAAATGCCCTTTTTCTTTCATTTAAAAGAATCCTTGAACGTTACATCTTTCAACACGTTGGTGTCGGGTAGTTGAAAAATTGTAGCCTGGCTATCTGGGGATTATAATTTTCTTCTATACTAGACAGTGCCCTTATTTATAGTGGGATAGCCTTCTTCATTCCTCTCTGAAGACCTGATGCCTTAGATCAAACATGGGCATGTTTTTGGAGCACAGGATGGAGAAAGATTAGATGTATGAAAGAGTCGCACAGGCTAAACAGCAAAGCAGACAGCATGAGAAAAATCAAATAGGCACATGCTGAGATGGAGAGGTCACCTTTTCTCCCTTTTCTCCTAGATCACCCTTCTCGCCTCGTGGACCAGGGAAGCCCTATAGGATAAATAAAAAGCAAACCAAAGAGATCTATTGATGTAACTGTGGCAAAATCGCATTGAAAATATAAATTTAAGATTTCATGTTTTCAAATGTAGATATAAAAAAATGGCATGCCCAACAATCTGAGAACTTAGCTAAAGTAGCACTTACAAAAAATAGTTAACTAACATCTATATACAACAGGTTTCTTGCTTTTTCTCCTAGGAAATGTATAGTGGAGAGAATATCAGGATACCAGTTTGAATCTAGACAAGTTCACTGCTCTGTGTGGCCTTGGGCAAACCACTTACCTCAGCATTTCAGTTCCTTGACCATAAAATGGGGTTAATGATCTACTACACAACTGTTGGCGAGAGCATTAAATGCGATGATATAAAGTACCAGAATTGTCTGCACACGATAGATGCTCAATAAACAGTAGCTATTATTACTTTTGTTATTGTTATTATTCACATAATACAGGGTGACCAGTGTTCATTTCAAGAGGCATTTACTTTTGAGATTCTCTATATTTACAGAATTATAAGATATATAGAGACTCTATGCTAAAAGGAAAATACTGCATAACAGATTTGAGACTAGTTATAACATATCATTCTCTAAGGGTAGCATGTGAAATATACTTCAATTTTATGTACATTTTTAAATAAATGATTCAGCTGCAGACATTGAGAGCACCCCTAATTTGGGTAAGTATTTTGAAGTGGTACTATCAACTATCAATTATTAACTTTACACCAGATAATTATTTTTTCTTTTATGTTTATCTTATGCAAATGCTAGTGGTGTATTTCATATTGCCTACATGTATAGCAATATATATTATATGCATAACTGTGCACAGAAAAAAGAAGTATTCTTGCTGTTATTGATGATGGAGCATCTATTGTAATAGGAAGATGTTTGATGCACGTATTACTTACATCAAGACCAGGCTCTCCATCTTTCCCCTGCCAAAGAACCATAGTAGCTACGTTAGTGTTCCTACGTTTCATAAATAGGTTATTGTTTTAGTTAAGGCTGCCTGGACATGCAACACTGGTATTAGAACTACTTCAGAAATGTGAAAAAAGATTCTTTATTGATTAGCAATACAAATCTCATTACTAAATAAGTAAAGTGACCGCTAATGTTGTTGTTAAGGGTCATGAAAAGTTTTTCTTATATAACAGGTTATTCAGTCTGTTATTTTGCTGAAGTTAAATGCTTGGTATCCGAGTTATCAATCCAAGAGTAAGCTGAAAGCAAAAATATGGTTTAGTTAATTTAAAAACCCATCAGCACTAATAGAGTATGCATTTGATAATTTAGTAGCTAGTTTATAAGTGAGTAAAAAATGTGGAAATTTTATTGTTAAATATAGTTTTAATTTGGCTAGATGTACACCTAGTCTATTAACATTGAGGGTGTGAAGGTCACAACTTAAATACTATTTTTAAGTAAGCTTTATAAATGAATGATCCCCACATACAAAAGGAGTCATAAGACTACTGAGCAAGGATAAAATCACTCCCATCGTGCAGATCATCAGGGCAGTGACCCTATTGTGTCAGATAGCAGATCCACCTAAAGTTACTGAGAAGTTGTTTTGATTCTGTCAACTGACATCTATTTCAAAATCAGCCTTCACTTGGAATCTGTTTTAAAATCGGCCTCTCTTTTAGCACTGAAGTAATCATGGTTTAAGTTTATTATTTCAGTTCATAAAAACTGGAAGGTACAAGGTATATGGAAGGTACATAGGGGTTAGAAACCTTACTACAGCATATGCTCCTATTGAAGTCCCTACCCTACCTCAAGGAATCATTTATGATTATCTCAAAGATAATGTTCTGAAGCAAACCTGAGGCCTCGATTTGAAGTCTGTGTAATTGAGAATCTTCAGAAGACAGAACACTATCAACATTCTACGTCCTGAAAATCCCTTGTCACCACAGCAACTTAGAGGGCTCAGAGACATCATAGTCACCATAAACATTAATTTAAGAAATAATTTCAGTAAGTAACCTATGAGAGAAGATAAAGCCTGCAGGAAGTTGTTTTAACCAAGGCTTCCACATACACTTTTGGTACAGTGACCCTCCAAAGAAGTACCAATTATGGGCGTCCAGTCAGATGGCAGAAGGAAAGCGTTGTCTGACAGTGGGAATCCACTTTCAGGCTAGTACTGGTCACCTCATGGACAAGCTCTGATCTTCTCAATCTCATGAAGTGTGTGGGTGTGTGTGTCTATACGTGAGTGGGGAAATGTCACACAGATATGACCTATCTCTCAAGGACACGGTGACACTGGGGTTGGAGAGAATTACTGGATTGTTCTTTGCTCCTGTCATGTGGTTAGTTGGCCCCACGAGGGAAGGGTTAATTGTGCCAGTGACAGGCAGTCTCTGCATGCTGAAGGTGGCAGCCGCACACAAGACACAGAACTCACAGGCAGTCCATAGGGCCCTCTGGGGCCGGGCTCTCCCACAGCTCCTTTTTCGCCCTAAAATGAAAGATGGAAAATTCAAATCACACATAAACACATATATTCAAACACTTTCCCTAATGGCTTGTGGATAAAGACACTACTTCAAGTATCATTCTATCAAAATTCCAAAGATTCAGGCTTTTCCAGAGTCACTGCCAATAATATAGTAAAAGTAATCTGCATTAGACTATTTTATTAAATCACCTTTGAAAGAAGGACAGTAAGGAAGACTGCTGCTGTCCCGTTGTGCAAAAGAAGTGGCAAATCTGGAACACAACTTGTTTTTTTTTGGCACTGGTATGAATCATTTATTTGTTACTAATTATTTTAAGTTACTACTTTTTAAAAATGTAAGAATAAAATGCCTTTTTTTTTTCTATCAAATGTCTCTTCCTCACCAAAGCCTTCCTTAACCATCCTGGCCCTGTACAGAGCTACACATGGCACTCACACATCTGGAGACACAGACAGGTTATAACTTGTTTATTCTTTGCTGAGCCCATGATTGGAATATGCACCTTAGGGTGCCAGGGCCTCTGCTTTGTTCTCTCCTGCACACTTACAATAGTGTCTGACACATCAGTAAATATTTGTTGAATTCATGAATCAAGTCAAATTAATACAATCATGAACCTGTTTTGCTTCCTTTCTGAAAAGGAGGGTTTAAAAATGTTTATGCCTTCGACTAAATGTCTGACAAGGTAGGTATGTATTACCTTCATCGCTAGCTTGCCCCTGGCTTAAATGACAATCCTGAATGCTTACAATGACTAAGCGTAATTGAAGGTGGTCCCAAGAATACGAAGTAATTGTGATAATAAAGACATGTTCTGCATTTCGAATAGTGTTTTCCTCTGCTGCCATCTTCAAAATTAAGAGGTTTGTCAGGAGTCACGGTAATGTTTACATTCGTGACCAAACAGAAAATGTTACCTCCCTATATCTTACCCCTGAAGAAATTTAAACGTTAGCAAATTTTTTTCCTGGGTCAAATGCCAAGTTCAGCTGAAAATCGTGCAGGCGGATCTAAGTATTTTGCTGTTTCTCTATATTCCAGATTCCCATTTGAGAAAATTTCAAGTCACTGTTAACATTTTTCTTGAAACTTAAGGGTTTGCAGAGCTAATTGGCACTGTCACCTCGGAGCATATATAGTATAGGGAGATTACTGAAAATAAATATAAATATCATAAAAGCTTGTTGAACTTTTAATCATTATTACTCAACGTTTATTACTGAAAGAGCAGCAATTGCATTCAGTCAAGTGGCCAAGCTTTGAAATGAAACAGATTTAAATGTGAACTCCAGTTCTGGCACTTACTGGCTATATGGCCTTAGGTAACTTTCCTAATCTCTCTGTGCCTGAGTTTCATTGGCTGGAAAATAAGAATAATAATACATATTCTACAAGAATTTTTCTGAAGATAGATGTGATTATAAAATATGAAATTCATTATTGCCCAATAATATGTCCCATAAATAGTAGCTATCATTATTATTATGTATCTAGAGGTCTTAATTTTAATAAAAATGGCTTGGCAACCTAAAAAGCACTTAATTCAAAATATATTTATTTCAGTTTGATCTGACAGTGTTATTTATGATTTTTAAAATGGTGGTGGTGGTGGTGGTGGTGGTGTATGTGTGTGTGGTGCAGGATGGTTAAAAGGAGGGTTCACATAACCTGGAGTGGGTCTGGTTTTAAAAAACTCAACAAATTAGAGTTCGAACAGATCGTTTAAAAAATCTCCACGGAGTACTTCGACATACCTATTCCGTTCTCTCTCTTCTGACTGAGCACCTTGGCTTTATTTCGTTTTAAAAATAAATATACCATGGCTTCTTTGAATTAAGTTGTCACTAAAACATTTGTCTGTGAAACTCCTTTTATAGAATTGCTCACCCCAAAATAATTACTTTAAGCTAATAGTGATGATTCCATTTCACCCGCCAGTGACTGTTTTAGAAGAGGACATATGACCCAATTCCGGCCAATAAGGTGTGGGGGGCAGTCAGCTGGAAAGCAGTGGGGAGGGGTTCCTCATTCGTAAGAAAGAGGCAAAGGAGAGAAGGTCTCGATGTGTGTTCTCTGCTGATGCTTCTCTGGAGGGGGTGTTTAGAGCCAAGCTGTGACCAGTGTGCCTGTGGTCAGAAGACAAAGCCAGCACACGGAAAGAGCACAGAAGCAAAGACTGGAGTCTCTCCATTGAATATTTTGATATAAACAATATATTTCTTTATTGTTTAAGGCATTTTGAATTGGGGTTCTGTCACTTAGAGCCAAAAGCATCCTAATAGTCCCAACTTGAAAACCTGTAGGAATGAAACATTAACACGGGAATTTGAACGTGCAACTTCTTTTCCTGGATTAAATAATTCCAAAAGAACTTTTGAATTTCCCCAATTTAACAACCTCTAGAGAGTTCCTAAGCAGTTACAAGGCCAGATGAAGAAATCAACCGAAGGCAGGGACCATCAGGTGCTTGAAGAGCTGAATACTAATGCTGTCAGTCATGTACTTGACAATTTCTGAGTAACATTGTCTGTCAAATGCCTGGCTCCTTTTAGGCTGATCTAATTTCATTCAGGCTCTTTAATTTGCATGCCTACACTAAGGAATTATTCTCGAATGTTCCCTTTTCCTGGTTCTTCCCTTTAAAATGTGAAACTTTTTCAAGAGAGTCCAGATGATGCCTCAATCAATTAACTTTGAGAATCGTACTCCAGTTTAGCACTTTGGGTGACGGGCACTTGGAGAGTACTGACACACGATCCAGTTAAGGTAGTTAACATGCTGAGTAAATACAAGTGTAACACTTTACACTGCACACCATTTGACTTAAACTATGCCTTCAAAAATTCTTAGAGATTTCATTTGCTCTCCTGGTTAGTTCTGCCCCAGCATCGAGACCTGATACTCTTGTGACACTGTGGAGCTATCGGAAGTAGCAGCTGATTTACCAAATGGTAAACCCTCTTGAGCCCCAGGGCATTCTGCCAAAAGACTACTTGAGGTTTGCTGCTCCATTTTTAGTACATGTACTGAATTTCTTGATACAAAGCTTGAATGGTTCAGTAGTGGGAGGCTCTTTGCTCTTAAATATTTTTAATTAAGATGATCTTCGTAAGTCACTGGCTTGATCTTAGAAATAAGATCAAATAAAGATAATTGCAGATTCAGACTATTTATTCCTTTAGGACTCACCTCTTTCTAGAACCATTCTTGGATAAAGCCAGCCTTCCTCATCTCTGTATGTACAGCCCGTACTGTTTGTATTCACTTTGGCCTCATTACCTGGTTATTTTTCTCAGGTAATTTTTTTCCTCTGCAATTAGGTTGTAAAAACTTCTATATCAGGTAAAATAGCTATTTACTTTACAGTATCGAATAAACATATATAGTGGATTTGTAAAAAGTTATAGGATGACGAATTAATTATAATTGTTTAATTCAACTCACTGGAGCAAATTAGCAAAACAGACTTTACATAAAAAGAAAGAGTTTCCATTTCACACTAGAAAGACACTGTGTTTTGTACATCATAGCGTATGATAAATATTTACTGAATGAGTGAATTTACTTTATAGAACACGGAACTAAAATGTATGCCAAAGAAATCACTATGCGGTCCTCTATGTTAAAGCAAATTATCCCGGACGGATGAAACTCTATTGAGTTTTAAAAGACTGCAAACTTGCACAATGAAGTATTCCAACATGTTGAAGCCCTCACTATTAAGATACTTTCTTTACATCCTACCCTGGACAGTGGGGAAACTGATGACATGATTCCACTCAGACACAAAAAACACGTCTCAGTTCTCCAAGGTGAGGAAAAGAAAAAGTGGGAGACAAAACAGAGAAAGAGGGAGAGAAGTTCCAGACAGATGACCAGCTGCTGATGTGGCAGTACATTTTTTTGTGTCAGATATTTATCTTCTGCTCTTTTTTTGTTGTTGTTGTTCCCAAGGATATAGAAACATGGCCTAGCAATAGAGGAGTTAGTGAAAGGTTTTTGTTTTATAATGTACTGAAATTATTTCCTTATGGTTAAAGAAAGACAGGCTATTTTTTTTTTTTTTTTAAAGGAACATGAGTAACTGTGGAGGAGAATACTTAGGTTTTGCAATTTTCCTTTAAAAGTTACATCTTACTCTCAATGAACACAGTGGCTTTATATAAATGATTAGCAACCTGAATATATAGTCCTGGAAATTTTGGCCCCATGGACTTCAATTTACTGGATTAAGGCCAAATAGAAATATCTTCCTTATGGGTTAAGAAGGAGTGGTCTGAGCTATTTATTTTACCCATGTAAATGTACGCATTGTTTTTCATTAGGCAGCTGTAGTCTGTGTTAATACCCTGTTCTTCTCTCAGTGTGAGAACTCTGAATAGAACTTAAGATGGTATCTATTTTCATTTAATATTTGATAGACCTTTGTTTCTTCTGGGAAATGAACTGTTCAGTTCAAATAAAATGAAAAAGCCACACCCTGTTTTCTTTAGGACATAGCTTAATAATCTGAAGAGTGACTTACTCTTTCTCCTTTGGGACCTGCAGGGCCATGGGGTCCCATAGGGCCATCTGTACCCTAAAAAAAGATAAAAATAAGATAATATGAGACATATCCCATGGGCTATAAGAGAAGCAGTTATAATTTATCTTGGATTTTTCCTGGGTGAATGGTGCCTTAGAATGTTAGTAAGACAACTCATCTCCGTTTTAAAGTGCTTTATACTTGATTCTTTCAGGCCAGTAGTTTTCAAGAAGCTCATATGAAAGGAATAAATTATATAACTACACATTTCAGTGAAGGGCACATACAAAAAGCTGTATATCATGTTTAATTATATATTTTCTCCCTGACTAAATGGAATATCTTCATTTTGCCCCCGTAATCTTAAGAAAAATATAATTTCTTTCACATTACCTCTCATTCACTGTCATCCTCCACCCTTCCTTTCATCGGCCACAAATGCTCTAAGCCTTGGTTTCAGCTGTTTAAGAGGCTTGAACACTTACACAAGTGAATAAAATATTAAATAAATAAGAATGGAGTATAATTGCTCAAACCAAACTTTCTTCAGCTCTTTTGAGAACAGCAGCGGGCTTAGAGGGAAGGAATTATTCTTGCAGGTTCTGCTGCAGTGGCTGAAGTCACTAGGCTTACAAGGCACAAACTAGGCAGCCAATGATTTAATGGCATAATTGCCCTCTGGCTTCCCGGTTCAGGATTAGGATTTCTGTGGCAGATGAGATAATATCTGAATGAATAAACGAACACTGAGGTCCAGGGAAAATAATGACTGCCTGAAGAAGGTTTTTAGAATTGAATAGCTGAAATTTCCTTTTGATTCTTAAAAATGTAGCAAGGACTTTAAGTATATTTGCTCATGTTCAAGAAGACTATGCTTTGATTTGCAAAGAATTTATTATATATTTGCAAATGGAACTATTCTGGCATGATTTTTAAAATAGTATTCCTATTTCTGTTCTACTGTTCCTATTTATTCTATGTGAGCCTTGTGATATGAAATAATCCAGAGTTTTTAATTCGTTCTAATGTTGGTGAATTCTCATCATTTTAAACTGATCTTTTTCCTACTGCCTGCATTCAAATTTCATCTTCAGAAGACTTCTAAAAACTGAGTATCTGTGTCTGAAATTTAAGAGCCAGAGCTGTTAAGAATCAAAGAAAAGTGACAAAATGACAAGACAGACAAGTCATTTTGATGAACAGAGATTTGAAAGTTAGTTCCAATGAAGAAGTTACATTTCTAATATGGACATATACATAAAAGGAAAAGCAAGGTAAAATAAATTCACATTATTTTAATCCCTTCAGAAGGTCTTTCTCATGAATTACAGGAACTATCCACTGGTTATGAAGAAATTTGTCTCGGATTCTTAAATAATTAGACTCGTCATTCTAGCAAGTTTTCCAGACTTGAGCCCGGGCTTCACAAAGATGTTTTACAGTGTTAGCTGTCTGTCAAATACAGCTGCAGCCCATGCTCTGTCCACCTTTCCCTTTTCTGCCACTACCTTTGTCCCTCTTCTCCTTTTACCCCAGTCCTAGGTACCCTCATCATTTGATGAGAGTTCATGAACCAAAAGGGTCTGTCCTGAAGTACAGAATGCATAGCCATAAACGCATTGGAGCAAGACGAGGCACTGACTCACCCGGGCTCCTGGCTTTCCGTCTAAGCCAGATGCTCCCTGTGTGATTTGGTTGGTAGCAGGGTTGGTGGGTGTAACACGAATTACAAGAACAGAGATTAGTATGAGGTACCGATGAACAAATGTAACACTTCATACAACATAATACGCAGTCACAGGGTTCTGGGATGAATATCACATTGCTACAAATTGTTAGTTAAAAAAAAACAAAACACAGGACAATAAACACCCCCACAGATGATGGCATTTTAACGACATTTCCATTTGACAAATTCTTATTCAGACATCAAGTTAATGAGGTTTATAAAGTGGGTTTTAAAGTAGTTACTGGGAACAGTCGCAGACTGCTAATATCCATATGAAATTCATTTCCTATAGACTGTACTAATCGTAATTATTTTTCTTTCGGTTCTGAAGAAAAAATAATGGCAATCTCCTAAGAAAGGGCTCATTATAATAATCAATCAAAGTTAGCATTTCAGAGAAGAAAAGAGCTCTAGTTTTGCTTGTTAATATAGTGTTTATGAATAACAAATGCAGGACTTAAATGTGCAAGGATGACTTTGTGGATTTTAATGAACAATAGTCAGTTGTTTTCTCAGTTGTTCTTATTGTGTTCATATTAGTCACCACTAGAGGGACTTCTAGGAACAGGAAAAAGCTGGAAAATTTTCATGAGCCTAAACAAAAAATAACTGTCCCAAACAAAACCATTCCTCAGTTCGCTTCAAATAATCATTGCATCAAAGTCTAACTGAGAAATGTTTTAAAAATATAATGTTGTTCTCAGGCAATCCATGCTTTTCTTTACCTTGAGCTCTAGACTACACATTGTCCATCATTGAAAGGTGACATTTTTCAATATTTGTTTCAAGAATAAGCACAATTACATCCTTGATAAGGCTTTTGTATCCAAAACTCGAATATTTATTTTTAGTCTTTTAAAAATATTAAATCACAGACTATTTAAGAAAGACAATGAACTAGCCCTGCAAGTTCTCTTGGCAAGGTTGCAGAACTATTTCCCCGTTTTATGCTTCAGATGTAATTAATAATACAAAATGAAAGAAAAAAATCTATTCTAGCTGCAAACTCTACCGATAATACTATGCCATATATATTTTGGGTCATTTTAGTTTTTTATTTGACAATTTCTCCTGTATAATTCTATTATGAGTCAGACTATAACTGCAAAATACATCTTTAGTTAGGAATGATTGAAATTAAAAAAAAAAAATGTGTTGTTTAATGCTAGCATATGTAGAACTTTTGGCTAAATGTCATATAAAAATTACCACTAGCCATAAATTTGAAATTAGGGCAAATTAAAGAAATCAGATTGAGGTTTTAAATACAATAGAAATCAATAGAAATCCAAACTTTCTTTTGCCTTTTGCTACTTACTTTCTTCAGAGTTACCATTATTATAACATTTAAAAATAAATAGGGAGACGGCAAAAATTTTCACTGATAACATATGTACCTGGAATGTGAATTAATGACTCATATGAGTTATAGAGGTTTTATGCCTGGGATCCATTGATCAAATTGGTGTGATTTAACTTATGCTCTAATACAAGGCTTATATCATTCATTCAATAAATTAATATATATTGAGCATCTACTATATGCCTGATCTATCTATGTAAGTCACTGGCTATCAAATAGAATACTTCAGTACTTTCGATACAATACCCATGGAAAAAATAAAGATAGTGGTCACATTTTTTAAGTGTAAGAGATGTGTATAAACTATTTTCTATTACCAATTTAATGTCATATTTTAATAATTTATAATGTTCTTTATTGATGTTCATCTGCATTCAATGAATAGACAGAATCTTAAAAGCTTGAAACTAAAATGGCACATTCAATAATCATTTAAAATAATCTCTTTTTGGTTGTAATGGAAAGAAGACTCATAAAATGCATAAATGGTAAAAATCTCTTTTTTGTTAAAAATAAAAATCTTTAAACAACTACGAAATATTTATTCTGTCCTATCCACTATTGCCACAAGAACCTCACAAGAGGGCATTTCCAAAAACAAATGACAAACAACATTTAGACCACAATATGATTGATTAATGTAAGGAGCCACAGCACTGATCTCACGCCATCAACAATGGTCAGTTGCATACCTGCCACCCATAGAGGGCTACAGTTTGGGTATCGAAGGAGAAAAAAAAATCGAGGGAGAATTTTAAACCGCACTAAATCATAAAAACTTTTTGGAGCAATTATGACATAATCGGCACAATCCTATTTTAAAGGGGAGGGTGATGGGAGAATTGTGAGCTTCAAAAAAGGAAGACAGGCATGTTTGTAATTGAAGGACAGAATGCTTATGGTGTTGCGTGTTATGGGGTCTTCTTCTGACAGAAGAGCAGACATCAGAGAACACAACTGGGCTGGGCTCTGCACTAACATAGTGTGCTCTCCAATTACAGAAATTTCAACTGTAAGACAGTTGCCGAGTAAACCAGAATTGTTACTTAGGGTAGAAAGAAAAGTCTGAGATTTGCACTGAAATGGAAAGTTTCTTTACTTACTGGAAGACCAAGGGGTCCTCTGTCACCCTTTTGACCTGGTTCACCCTTCAATCCTTTAACACCATTTAACCCTGGTTCACCCTAAATGCAAAAGCAAATGCCAATTTTGGTTGCTATCACGGGCGTTTCAGCTGTGAGAGAAGAGAGCCAGTCTCTGACATGGTTGCAGATTCCAGTTTTAAGTAACAGCTGAGTCAGGCTAGATTTGCCTTGTATCAGTTCAAAATTAATTTTTAAAATTGTTTTAAAAATTAATAAACTGAAATTGACAACTAAACAATATTCTAGGAAGCAAAAGCTCCTTACAATCAAAATACATATATAACTAAGTTATATACAATACATAACTAAGTTCCTGAATTTTTCATATGTGTCTCAAGGAAACTGGTGTTACGTTACATTGTTCTGACCAAGCGAATCAAAGACAATCAGAGTGGAGAATAATGAAGGAGGTTCAATAGGAAAACCCACTCTGCTGCAATGGAAAACTGGAATATGCAGGACAGTGTTATATACAGACATTTTAAGCCTTTAAGCATTTTACCCAGGGGAATGAGCTAAAAATATAGCAGGTGATGTTTGAAGTAATGCCATGTAGTGAGTCCTAATTCACTGGCATTGCCAAATCAGGTCCCCACATGGATTAATCAATAGAGTAGACAATGAATCGTCAATCCCGGAAGAGAATATGGAGATCACAGAACTTTCATGTAGTTTTATTAACTGTCTGTGTGACCAATGTTAGAATAAAGGTTTGAATTTAACTTAGGGCAATATTACAAAATCCGTGAAAAGTGATAAATTCTGTTGACTTATTGTTTTTTAAAAATCTAAGAATGCGATACACCTATTTTCTATCAGCAGCAGCATATTAGAAATAGAATTCTGACCTGTTCACTTTTCAGCTTTTAAGCACAGACATAATTTTGTCAAGAAAATCTTTAAAAAAAAAAAAAAAAAGAAAGAAAGAAAGAAAAAAAAGAAAATCTTGAAGGATTTGTGAAAGGAAGATGATTTCAGTCTCAAATGCCCTACAGAGTCATTCTGGGGTGGGGGGATCAGAGAATAGAGATGATGTTTACATGGCAGAAGGCAGTATTTTCCCCCATTTGCCTGATAATGAAAATCAGCATGTTGTTAAACATTAAGGAGTCCGGAGCCCCAACCTAGACCTCAGTAGCACAGGAAATGTGTATTTTAAATAAGCTTTCCAGGTGATTCTTCTCAACAGGAAATTCTAGGAAAGAGCTTGTCCTTGAACTTTCAAAGGGTTCCCAAAAAAGTAATGAACACATTTTGGCACAACCTAGTGAAATTTGGGGCTTTTAAAAATAGGATGATCACAGTGCTGTCACTATAGGAAATCTAAATGGTTGATAAAGCATGGTCCCAGGAATGTCACAGAGCTGGAGTTAATGTAAGATGAAGGCCAAGGCTCAGTAGTCAGCTTCAGTTAACCGATCTCCACTTGAGATTCACGGTCTGCATGTGTGTGGTCTTTCGACAAGTGGTCTTGAGATGATGAATAGGCAGGGAAAGGCTGTGAAATTCTTTGCCGAGAAATCATGTGTTGATAGGAGTGGGCATTAATTAAGAAGGCGAGTTTATAATTAATCAAATTTAGTGGCAAAAAGACCAAATTTCAACACTGGACCTAAATTCTAGTCCTAGATCTGTCATTTAATTAGCAGGGTAATTTTGGGTAAATAACCTAAATTTTCTGGGCCTACAGCTTATCATCTACAAAATCAAGGAACCAGCACAAGTAATCTATGAGGTCTTTGAAACTTTATAAAAATTCTCTGTAATCTATGATTTAAGTCCAATTAAAGTGTAGGCAAAAAAAAAAAAAATCGTTGCATTTTAGATATCAAAAGAATCGTGGGCATCTATCAATCCAGTGGTGATGGTATATCTGAATCACTTATGGAATTAAAAACACAGTCTTGGTGGCTTTAGCCTGAGTCGTACAATTTGGGAGGTCTTTAGGGGTGCTTTAACATCCAAGGAGAAGCTAAGATTGGGGAAAGAGGCCCGGAGAGGTTAGATAACTACTAAGACCACAAAGCTGATAGATGGACTCTCTTCTGACAACCAGAACAATGCTCTTACCCCAAACTACAATCCATGCTTCTGAGACATGGTCACTCTCTGGCCTTGCAAGAGAGTAAGGTATTCTAAGGGGAATAATGAGGCATGAACTCTTCCCATGTTTGGGTGAGTTACCTGCCCAACCTCAAAAAGGAAACTCAGATTTCTAAAGTCAGATCAATACCTTTGCTGCCCCTAAAGCTGGTAGGCCAGAAAGAGACCCCAGAAAAAAGTGAGATCCTAGTGTTAACATTGCATTTATGTATTCCCCGCCCCTCACATTTAAATGCACCAACTCACTACTGAGAAGCTTTCAAGAGTACTTGAACTTTCTCTCAAACAGCCTTGAGGACTATCTAAATTTTTTGTTTGGAACAAAACATCAGATCACAAGATAACAGTAACAACTGACATTTGTTGGGTGTTTATCAACAACTGCGCCAGATATTTTGCTAAGTGTTTTATAATCATACCTCATTAAATCATCACAACCCTATGTGGTAAGTTATCTTGTTGAGTAAATGAAGGATCAGAGAGGGTAAATCATCTGCCCAAGTTAACACAGCCTGTTAGGGACTAAACTGAGATTAGAACATAGGTCCTCGTCACATGTGCTCCCTAGAAGAAGCAGACTGTCTTTCAGGGCTCACTTTAATCCTCTAAGATGTCCTCTCATTCTAGACAAAGGCAGAGAATAGGTGGAGACCATTCTCACAATATAAGCTGCACTAATGCTGACAAGGAGAGGCTATTCTCCATTGTTCTCTTGTTAATCCAGAGACGGAATACATGTATGTGATGCAATCTTCTCCTTGGTATAGTATACCTAATAAATCCCATTCCATTCTAGACCAGTGACTTATGGGGGAGTACAAAATCAGGGTGCTGGATAGTCAAAGCATTTAGATGCAGTACTGCTATACAACAAGTGAGAAGTATCAATAATATCCAACTGTATAAAGATAATAAGAAAGCATCTGGGCTAGTCTGAGAATCTCATCAGAGTTACTTCTAAATGGTTAATTTTGAGTATATTAAGATTAGTAATTTAAGAGACATAGTGACAAGGAAAAAAAGCAAAATGAGGAATAATTCATGTCCAGGTGATATCACTTAAATTTTTTCTAAGTCATTCTGTGTTGTGAGATTTAAACATCTGGATACTTAAAGGCTTAAAGATTATCGACATTACTTGACAAGTAAATTAGACAGGACAGACATGCTTCCATCATGCTTCTCCATGATTAACGAGGAAACAGAAATCAAATAATCAAGGGATTAGTTAGATTACCTTTGGTCCAGGAAGTCCATGGGGTCCCTGAAAATGAAAAACACAGCTTCTAATTAAGAACTGATTCACTGTTTCCCAGCAGAAGTGATTACATAAAGCAACAAAAAGATATAAAACAAGAACCTTCTTATTTGAGCTATAGCTAGAGGCAGGCCAGTGGATGTTAATACCTAGTGAAAGTTCCTCCAACTCCTGGATTCCTCTGTAATAGGAAATTCATTAATAGCAATTTTTTTTTTTTTCTGCTAAATACCTATGAGAGGGAGGGCGGAATCTAAAAGGGTTACATGGAAGAAAAAATAGAAAAAAAAGTATTGTGAACCTACACTATTCCTATTTTTCAAATCTCCATTAAAAAAAATTCTAGGTGGAATATGTGAAGTATTTTATGAGTTTATGTGGAATACAGATAGGTCTTAACAGACAGAAATTTGCCAAAGAAAAGTCCCAGACTTTAAGTACCAGTAAGGAGGGGACCTTTTCCGTTACAAATTACTCTAGACCTAGGTACTGAGCAATCTAAAGTAGAAAGGAAATGAGATGATAATCAAGTCTGGAACCCTCTTGTATCATTTGTTTAATTTAAGACTAAGGAAAGGATACTAAGACAATAGTGGTAAGCATTATTATTCAGAACACATTTATTTTTACAAAGATGAATTCTTCAAGGTTCTTGCGACAAATATTTACCAATGTAAAGAAGTCATATAAATAATCTATTGGAGAAAAGAGTATTTAAATACCTATCAGTGAAATCATACGAGAACAGGAAAATTTTTTATCAAGTGATACGTAGATGCTTGTTACATATGTCTACATTGGAATAATATTTTCTCTTTAGATAGGTTGTGGGTAAACATTTTCAGGAAATGGCTGTTATTTTATCAAGTATTCTTATCTCATTTTAGTAATGGTTTAAAATTCATTTAAACTAATTAATTTTATGATATGAACAGGATACAGTGTTTTAAAATTTAATCTTCTAACTTAAAGTGGAGGGAGTATAAAAAAGCCAAAAGTATGTTATTTGCTTAATTCTTAATAAACTTTAGTTTTAAGAAAATAAGGTTCATTATAATTGTTTTGTGAATAAAATAGAAGTGGCGATTAGTGAGAAACAGATGATTGGGTCTGGGACTATGCTCTGTGGCTCAGACCACACCAATGATGCTCTTTCTTAGGGCATAAGAG